CCGGGTCCATCAGGAGCCTGGGACGGAACCATCTAAGTGGTTCCGTCTCCCTGCGGCGAGGGGAAGCGGTCCGGAAGTCCATCCTCAGGAGTGCATGATCTGACCATGACAAGGGCTCTATGACTATCTCCCCCATTTCCAGATCATTCTGCCACTGGCCAGAGACAAAAATCAGATCCAGTGTGTGACCTCCTATGTTGTTTGAATGGCCTGCTGATTCTTGATTTTTTTTAAAAAAGAAACCATACATTTCAGCAGTTTAAAGCCTAGCTTATTATCTCAGTGTTTTTTCTTCCCTATGGAAAAATCAGTTTTAACATGGGTTACTATGGCTCCAATACAATAGGATACATGACACATGTAGAAAAATAACATATAAAATATCTCACTTGCACTATCTCAATTCTTACAATCATGTTAAACAGTAACTCAGTATTAGCAGTAGATGTAATTGAGTAGATGTAATTGAGAGGTTAGGGTGACAAAGTGGCTTGCCTATAACTCTTGATATATATATATACTGTATATATGAATGCAAATGACAATACTTTTAGATATTTTTTATTTAAACTGAATCAAAGCATCCTATACCCACTCCAAGATCCTAAAACCTGCTAAGAAAGCAAACTGGTTTGGATTAGTGAAACATGCAATAGATAGTATCATAATCTATTTTATTGCCTTTTAGATGGTCATAGTACTTCTGTGTTCACAGAATATGTAATATTTGTTGTTGTTAATTGCGAAGACGTGTCCGACCCATCGCGACCCCATGGACAACGTTCCTCCAGGCCTTCCTGTCCTCTACCATCTTCTGGAGTCCATTTAAGCTCACGCCTACTGCTTCAGTGACTCCATCCAGCCACCTCATTCTCTGTCGTCCCCTTCTTCTATTGCCCTCAATCTAATTACATTATTACAGTCATTACAACTATTACAGACGCTAATGATTTGGACTGCTTATTTTTTGCCACAACTTCCTTCAATGGGAATAAGAATAAGCACTGAAATATTAATAGAACAAACAAAATACTGAAACCTGATTTGAGGGTGTATTTTTTTCAAATATTAAGACAGTTGTTTTCTTATAGACTAATATCAACCTGTAATATAGAAGACTATTTTGATAAGTGTTTAAAATTTGAATCCATTTTGGTGCAACATGAAAAAATATGCAACAAATATAATTATTTTTCTACCTTTGCTATAGCAATAGCACTTAGACTTGTATACCGCTTCACAGCCCTTTCTAAGCATTTTACAGAGTCAGCATATTGTCCCCAACAATTTGGGTCCTCATTTGACCTCGGAAGAATGGAAGGTTGAGTCAATCTTGAGCTGGTGAAACTCGGACTCCTGGCAATCGGTAGAATTAACCTGCAATAATGCATTCTAACCACTGAGCCACCATGGTTCTCTCTCTCTCTCTCTCTCTGTGTGTGTGTGTGTACACACACACACACACACAAGCATACTTATACACATTGCTATATACTGCATTCTAACCACTGAGCCACCATGGTTCTCTGCTCTCTCTCTCTGTGTGTGTGTGTGTGTGTGTATGTGTGTGTATACACACACACACATTGCTATATAATTAATAGTTTATTAGAGTAAGCATTGTGAATTTTATTCAAAAAGTTCAGTTATTCTCTTTCTCCTCTACTATATTTGTTAATGACTCATTTATGAAATATGTATCATACTGTAATGGTTATTATAATTTGACTTCTTGATGCTGTACCTTTCCCTAAACAACACCCCCTGATTGCATTGTTAATTTATCAAGATCAATTTACTCAATAATCTAAAGTTGAAATATTTATAAAGTTATAAGTGAACTGAAATATCACATAAAGGGCATGCTCATTAGTATTATTGAAAGATTTATACATAATCAGCATATTACTTGTTGCTTTGGGGAAAAACTGTTTTGTGAACTTTTAAGTTTTTTATTTGCTTTTTAACTGGAATATTTCACTATGGACATTAGTAAATTTTGGTAATATTAATTCATGCATAAAATTCAGCACCACCACTGTCTACGGAATATGAGACAGAAAGAAGATCCATCCGTATAAATGAACTACTTGATAATTAACACTATGCTCTATTAAACTTTTTAGAAGCCTCTACAAGCTCTCAGTGCAGAGGAAATTATCACTCCAGTTGATCTACATGGATCAGTTAAGGCAGTGATGGCAAACCTTTTAGAGACCGAGTGCCCAAACTGCAACCCAAAACCCACTTATGCATCGTCGGGTGGGTGTGGCCCATTGACTGGGTGTGGCCAATTGGCTGGGTGTGGCCCATTGGCTGGGTGTGGCTGCGGTGGTAACGGCAGACTGAGTGGGACTAAAAAGTTCAATCAATCAATTCCAACTTTGCAAGATCTTTTTTTCCCGTGAGAAGTTGAAATTGACTGATTGATTGAACCTTTTTTTTTTTTTTGCACACGGCGGAGGCCTAAAGCGAAAAGGTTTTATAAAACCCAGCTGATGGCCTAGGACTGGGGCAACGGCGCGCATGCCCACAGAGAAGGCTCTGAGTGCCGCCTCTGGCACCCGTGCCATAGGTTCGCCACCACTGAGTTAAGGAACTACA